AGCAGATTTTTACCGGTTAGAATTATACAAACTAATACCAGAAAGGTCAGTAAACAAAATAAATTCGATAAAAAAGCATTTAGAGAAAATCACTAAAAATCCACACATTGCAACGTAGTTCTTTAATAAAAGGTTTAAACAACATATTAAAATTACGTTAGGATTTGAAAGATTAATAAGTAGTATAGATTCAAATAATAGCATTGTGAAAGTATATATATACATAGTATAAGAAAAAGAAGAAATGCGTTAATAATTGAATGGGATCAAATAAAGAATGATAAATAATGCAATCTAATATATTAATTCAATAGTTACAATAATCAATTCAGGTATAAATACACCTATATCTGAAAAGTACCCATGTCAAAAAACCAGTGATGAAATTGAAATTAAAGGCATTTTTTAAAATATTTAATCAGATTCTCAGCAGCAGCAATCCAGAAGATTTATCATTTAAACTAATACAGAAACTTTTAATTAACAGTATAGTAGAAAGAGATATATTGGTATAAGAAACATGCCATCTTCTTCTTAGCATTTCACTTTACCACTCAAGTCATTCATTTGTTAATTTAAATTTTAATAAAAAAGGGTTAAGATAGATCAAAAGAACAGAAAGGAAACTTGAAGAGGAGATTTTAATATTAATTAATAAAGCAGATTATACAAATAAATCTTCACTAATTTAATACTAGAACTGATCTGATGATCTAGAACATCTTTATTATTAAAAATAAATCTAACATATAAATATACAAATAATAAATAAATAAATTGCAAAAATGAAAACATCTTACATATATGACTATGACCATCAGAACTTTACAATAGAAATAAATGAGAGAATTTTATTAAATAAATATGTTATTTTATATATCACATAAAAGTATCATACAACTAAATAAAGATAACTTGTCTTGGTCAATAATATATAATCAAAACATCAAAATGATCAATAATAGTCTAAAAAACTTAATAGGGAATGCAAAAGACAATGAAAAATAAATATTTAATGATAATAGTAATGATGAAGAGATTGATAATAAAGATTCAAAAAAATATAGATACGATTAGATGTATCTCGCAGAGATGAAGCCAAATTTGAACATTGAAAGAATATCAACTGATCTCGAAAGTAGAGATATAGACATAAATTATGATTGGATTAATGATAGAAAGCAGTACTAAAGAACAATTAATCTAGAAATTCAAAAGATTTTATCAAATAAGCATTAATAAATGCTAGAAATCATAATATAGAAGAGGAAAATATAACAATGAAATATAATGATCTCAATGAAAATCAAAAAAGTATACTATAAAATAGAAATACATTATGAATAAATACTTGATGGAAATCACATTAAACCATTATGAATATTAGTTATAAATACAGCAAGAACAAATAAATTATATCTCATAAGTGCAATAAGAAGATATTTTAATCAAATGATAAGTAACAAAAGCTAAGAAATTGTAAAAGTGACCTATAGGAGTGGTAGTATTAAATATAAATAGATCAACAATATATTCAATACTACATATACCAATTATCAATGAAAAAACTTATGAGTTAAACAACATTAAGTTGAAATAATTACAAGAAAATACATAACATATTAAATCTTCATTATCGATAAGAAGAGCATAATAGGTAAATGCATGCTATTATAAATCAATATATGATTAAGATAGGTATTCTTAGAATCTAAAAGTGAACTATTTAGAAAAATATTAATTATATTTTTGGAGATTTTGGACAACTTCTTTCAATATTAGGTATACCTATATATATAACCAATATTTTACGCAATAACAGATTAAATAACAGTATATTCAGAATTGAGAAATTAGTACAGTTAGTACAGCTTAGTACAGTTTAGTACAGTTAATACATATAATAATTAATATAAAATTTAATACAGTACAGTATAAGTATAAGGTCAAAATTTGCCTAGTATATACAAATTTCTCAACCCTAGGTATAGTTATATACAAACAGTTTAGAGAAGTATATAAGCTTATTATCATACAATGATAATTAGAAGATTCTGAAAAATAAATAAATTTAGAGAAATACTAATAAAATTGCATATTAGAAAGAACAAAATTAATGATTGGAATATACTTAACTCAAGATTTAAAGGTAACTTAAATTAATAAGAAAGAAAATAATTTACAGATGCAGTATTTATTTTAACAACATGGACATATATCAATAAGATCAACAATAAGATGCTTAAGAAGTTGAATAAACCAGTAGCAAAAATAAATGTGACACATATTAGAGAAAAAGAAGTAAAAACAGCTAGTTCAGAGGTTGCAAAAGAACTAAAAACAAAGCTGTTTTTTACAAAAGGATTATGAGTTATATTATTAGCAAATATTTAGATTAAAGCTAGATTAGTAAACGTAAACAGTTCAATAGACATAATACAAGATATCATATTTGATAAAGAAGGACCTCTATCATTACTTTTAGTAATATTCATTCATTTTGAGTTATATAATAGACCTATAATAACAAATTCTGAAGGTATTAAAGTGGTACTAATAATGTCAATAATATGTAACTGAAAAGAAAAATAATGTGTGTTTGCAAGAAAAGATACCAATATGTCTTGCATAAGCAATAACAGTACTCAAAAATTAAGAATTCACGTTAGAAAAAGCAAAAATCAATCTAGAAAACAGAGAATTCATAACTAAACTTTCATTCATCACATTATTAAGAATATGTTTATTTAACAATATTTATTTCAATTGTTTTAGTTTTGATAGATTAGAGCGCATTAAAAATAGTAAGAGATTATAAGAAAGAAAAGAAGAAAAAGAGCAGCTTGCCTTTATGATACCAAAATAGCATAAACACGAAAAGTTTATTATTATTTATTATTATTAGTATTATTAGCATTATTATTATTATTTATTTATTTTTTTTAATAAAAAAATTAAACAAAAAATAAATGATAAATAAACAAAAAATAAATAGGTAAAAAAATAAACAATCCTTAAACAGAATAAATGGTATATTTTAGTTTTTTTTTATTATATTAGTAATATCAAACTAAATAAATTAAAGAACTAATCATCAGTGACTTAAACAGTAAGCGGAAGAATAGACAGACATTTTGTATTATATTATCTTATAGTTAATAGTTCTATACTATGCTTTAGACTAATTAGAAGAGATCTCTTTAGAGTTCTCTAAATTAGCTGTATTTCTATCAAGAATTATAGTACTTCTTTTTAGGAAAGTTATTAAGATTAATATACATCAAACTTCCCTTCATTTTTTATTTTTATTATAAATAGATCTGATAAATATTCAAAAATATGATATATGTCTTTTGAAAAAATAAGAATTATTTTTTATTTTAAAGATTTAATTTTCTTAATGTACATATACTAAAAAAATTCTACTAATCTATTTATCATTGATATGATTACCAAAACGGTTACCTTAAAGACCAAAAACCTAAAGCTAATAACTTTGTATTAGTTTTAGACTAGCTCTTAAAAAATATAACTTATCCGCTGAGTTGACTTTAGAATAATTAAGCAAATATGCTAGTGAATTTAGTGACTTACTTTCAGATTAGATAGCCTATAAATATATTAAAGTTACTCTTACCAGATGTAAATTTAGTAAAAAGCAAATAGAAGCTCTCATGTTAGATAAAAGAAAGAAAAAACTTACCATAAAGGAAAGAGCAAAATATTATGCTAAAATTAGTAATAAGTGAGATATTTTTATTTATACTTGTGACATAAATCCAAAAAGTAATAATAATAAAGAAATTACTACCAGTTGTTCATGACTCTCACTATTTCATAATAAATTAATGAAAGCTAGTATTACTCTTAAACTTATTGATACTTATACTAAAGACTCAGATATTACTATAGCTTTTAATAAAATTTAAAAAGAACAGACTAATCAAAATTTAGCTGATAATTGATTAAGAACTTTATAACATTTCTTCTTAGTAAATATGTGTAAAAGGATTCAAAATATAAATGTTTTTAAAATTCTTACTCAAGAGAACCTTGCGGATGTGATAGTAATATTGAGTATAAGACCTGCAGAAGTAAGATCTCTTTAGATTAATTATTATGAAATTGATCTCTTAAATCTTCCAGTATGATATAAAAATGGTTATTTTTGATATTGTTAACGTGCAATCCTTGCGAATTGTAACAGTTAGACAGGGTGTTCGAGTAGTGATTCTTTTAAGTTTACGTAGTGACTCAATTCAGTTTAACTCAAGATTTATAATCTACACGGTAGTGTATTCACGATGAAACTAACAGCAAGGTGACTCGATTGATTTAGTGATATAATAATATGTTTATTGATAATAATAAAATTAAAGATAAAAGAAGAAAAATAAGAAAATAAGAATATGAAAAGAGATCAAAAGAGTTAAAGTACTAAGTGAGATGTTAGGCCAGGCGCCTCTACAAGAACTACTAGATGGGTATCTAAAAGCAAGACTAAAGGAAAACTAAACGTAGACTAAAAGTGAACTACTATTTTACATGATTCTATTGCTCTCTATTTATACTAAATTAATACATAGATGGATATAACAAATAAATCAAATAAATCAAATATATCTTATAGGTCTGATATGTCTAAGATATCAATTATATCAAATATGTTCGGTATATCAAATATATCAAATATGTCTGACATTTAGATCTGTAATATGCTGCGTCACGTTCATCAATCCAATCCTGTTACAATATTATACTAGATATGCTAAGAATAAAAAAAAAAATAAGGATAATCCAAAGTCTTATTCATTCATTTCTATGGAGAAAAAATTAGAATATGTAAGAATATTGCTTATTTGGATTCAAAAGGCTATAAAGGCTAGAAAGTTGAGTGATCCTACCTTTAATGAAAATAGAAAGCGTAACACTAGGATATTTAGCAACTTCCTAAAGCTTTATAAAATCACACAAAATATTAAGAAAAATAAAAGGTAAGTATGCCTGAAGAGTCTACGGTAATCCAAACATAACTTACCAGAATTTTAATCTGCTTAACAGAAAAGTATTAAGACATAAAATTATATGTTATAATATAGGAAAGAATTATACTATAGGCGATATAGAATCAGAAGACTCTGATCCTGAATCTAAATCTAAATCTAAATTTGGGCTAAGTGATTCAAAAGGGATTAGCTTAATATTTAGATCTCAGACTTCATCATCTTAACCTAAAAATAAGAATTATAATCCCTTTGAATCTCAAATAGCAGAAATTGATTTAATGTTAGCTAGTTTCTAAAATTATGTAATTATTATTTTGTTCAAGACCCTACCAAATGAAGTAGGATTTTTTTCTAAAGTGATAAATATTCAGTTTATTTTTTCCTAGATATAGAAAATGTCTTTTAAAAAATATTATATATATTATTTAGAAAAAAAAAAAGATAAATATTATTCAAGAAATTAAAAAGAACATTATAGCATTAGAATGAGATATAATTAAAATATATAAAAATCTTAAAAGAATTGGCCATTTTTCAAGCAATTCAATTAATGCTAGTTTAGAGCAGTGATCTTTAGCTCAGAAGATTTTTACTGAGAGATTATGTGATAAAAAATAAGTGAATCATCAGTTAGGTCTTGTATGACATATTAATTTTCACATATATATTCAAAAAAATATATTATCTTTATTCATTTTTTTTCTTAAATAATCATGAGAATAATGTGAAAGAAGGTCTACTTGCAACACAAGATCTACTGTAAAAGTAAATATTAATATCAAAAGTATATGTTATAAAGGACTGAAGGACTCACAATTTTAAAATTGCTAAATGTAAAAATAACTATATGTCTTGCAAAGTAGATTTCTATGTGAAATGGTATGAGAATTCCACTTGCATGTGCTTTTGCTTACCTTTAGTCATAGAACTCTTGCATTATATAATAATATTAATCACTATTCTTATATCCTTATCTTTTTTTTTAGCAAGATATAAAGCATGTAAAGGTATATAGAAGTTTAGTTAACTTTTCGCAAAAATTTTAAGATATATATATAATATATATTCTTTAATGCAAGTATGCCAAGCAATTTTTTCATTATAGATCTTATATTTAGAAAATAAATGACTAAAATCACTCTTAATTGTCTTATTATTCTTATAGGAAAACTTATGCATATTCCAATTACAATTTACAAAATTGATAGAACCTAGAAATATATATATAGGGGTCAGATAACAAAAATTTTTTTACTATGAACTGTACATAAGAGATTTTCATAAGAGTAATACGCAAAATTAATACCTGATATTAAAAATTAAATAAAAATATGCAAATTAAGTTCAGACTATTATTGTATTATAATTTTATTAAGATATATATAACTAGATAGCATTTATCCTATTTTAATATTTTTTCAACAATATTTTTTTATTTAAAATAATCAAAATAATATTTCTTTTCATTACCAACTAATCTTAAAAAATTCCCATCAATATCTACTTTATCTTATTTAATATAATATATAATATTTGAAGAAATATGATATGTAAGTAAATTGTAATTCTCCTTAACTATATCAATAAATAATTCTAAATGTAAAGAAACAAATATATATAAAGAAATATATGATATATCATTCAAATCTTTAATCAGCATATCAGTATAGTAATGATGATTATAAGCCTCAAAATATAAAACTTCTATTTATTCAATACATATTTGAGAATCATATTGAACAAACAAATAATCACCTTTTATTAATGGAAAATCCTCTATTATGTTAGCAACTTTAATATTTGGAATTATTTTTAAAATATTAAACTAAATATTTAAATATGAAGTTAAGTGTAAAAATAAATTAATATAAACTTACTTTGAATCAAATTTTCTTGAACATTTTTTTTATTTAATTTTTTTTTTTTTTAGATTTATCTAATTCTTAAGCATATAATGAAAACTCTTTCCGCTAATCCTTTTTGCCAAAATGTCTCTAACAACTAGAAGACAGAGTATATATGGAAAACAAACTGAACCTTACAATAAAACTACTTCAAACGCTTTAGATAACAACAAAGAACCTAGTGTTCTCTCCTCTAATGATAACATAAAGAACAAGAATAACGATAATATTACTAAAACTAAAAAAAACAAAAAACTGACATTTCTACACTTGATACTACTCTTACAACAACTGAAGATCCAGATATTACCCAACAAACAACAGTTATTACACAGACAATCTCTTTTACTCCTGAGGCAGGTTTTGTCTTTGAAGACTCAGAAGTATACGAAATGAAAATAGATAAAACGAAAAATATTTCACCTTCTTCATCTTAAGAAACTAACACTAATATTTCAAGACATGCAAAGAATACAATAAATGATACAACAAACAATCTTAGTTCAACCCCAACTACTACTAATACTACTGACAAAGGAAAGAATAAACAACTTTTTTGGGCTGATCAAGTTGAAAATAATGTAAACGAAACTGACAAATCACGTGATTCTAACACGAAAGAGACTTTCTTCAATATCATTACTTCACCGACGCATTTTTTTGCATCAGATAATACTGCAGATATTATTGGTAAATCTATCGCCGATAAACGGAACTTCATTAACAAGCTGTTTGTTAACTTTTCTGATTATCAAGGAGCATCATACAACTCCAAACTTAGAAAGTTCTTTGTTTATTTTCATGCTATTGATCAACTAACACATACAGTAATAAAAGTTTAGGAGACGTAATACAACCCCGTATTTGTGATTGCCGATCCATCTGCAAAGAAACAACGACTTGATGCTAAAAAAGGAAGATGCATTAAAGTTAATGATATTCCCTTATTTGTCAAATCAGATGTAGTACAAAATTTCTTCCAACAACGTGATACAATTGCTAGATTTTCAATGATCACCAGAGGACCTTGGCAAATCACATTCATTGTTTACGAATCACCTGACGCTATTAAATCATTCTATAACGAAGAATGGTCTTTACCATTATTAGATTTTTCAGTCTGTATTGAACCTACTGACCTCGATGTTATGCAACTTATCTTAAGACAACAATTTGAATTAAAATTAACTGGCTTACCATTTAACACAACACAAAGGGATTTATCAATTTTTCTGAATTCTATCAAAGCAAAATCTTGTTTTATCCTAAGAGATCTTCAATATCGTAATCGCTCCTATGCATATATCAATTTTGACAATCAAGATGACTTTGACTCAGCATTTAAATCCTAACATAAATTCAAGTCCAATGTACTATTCTGGGTCAACCCTGCTACACTTCACTGTCGTAGATGTGGTAATCCTGATCATGAAGTTAAGGATTATACTCCTCAAAGACCCTCTAACCCTTATAGGCAACTATATGATCGTTTCAAACCTGTAACCTACAGACCTTCTCGTAATAATAACAAATGTTCCAGTAACTATACCGCAAATACACAAACATAACAAAACCAAAAGGGATCATATACTGCGGTTTTAAAAAATAGTCCTGATAACTCAAAAAATAATTCTCAAAACTCAAATATATCAGTAGTATTAGAAAATATATTAAAACGTTTAAATGAAATTGACAATAAACTTATAGCTCTTAATGATGATATTGTCACAGCAAAAAATGAAATCATCACTCTCCAAGAAAATCAAGAAGATATAGACTATCACATTACTAAACTAGAAAAATGTAATAACATAGTTCATACTAAAGGAGTCTACGATAGTGAAATGGAATTTGAGGAACATCAAGAAATCTCACCTGAAACTCCAGAAAACACCCCCATTTTTTCTTCACAAAAAACATATGTATCTCCTATTGACAAAGTCACTAATATTGAAAATCAATTTGCTCAATCTCGATCAGAAATTAAAGACATTGCCAATAATATCCAACAAATCCTTCAAACGTTACCTACCTCTTCCAAATGAGTGTACACCCTACAAACAACAATATAGGATTGCACCAAATGAATCCTGAACATAGTGAATTTCTTTCAAACGACTCTTTTAAAAATATTATTAATAACCCGAATCTTCTATCCTTTGCAACTCATAATGTCAGAAACTGTTCGTCAGAAACTAAACTAAATACTATTGATTCCTTTTTTACAAATTTTAACATAGACATTTTAGGTTTAAGTGAAACTCATTTCAATCTTTTACAAGCGCATTATTTTAACAAAAATAATCATAACAAACCTTTTAAATATTTTTTCCATTCGTCTAATCACAACCAAAACTGTCAAGGTGTTAGACTTATAGTTCGTAATAATTTAAGTTCACATATTTACAATCAAGCATCTTTCTTCAATTGAATCATATATCTTGACTTTTAATTCAAAAACAAATTCAAACTACAAGTCATTCAAGTATATTTACTTGCATCATATCAAACTAAACAGGATTTTCATTATCGTATTCAAGTTCAAAAGAAACTAATGAATATCTTAACTAACAGTCTCCATCATAATTTTCATGTAATATTGATAGGAGATTTCAATATTGACATAAGTAAAAGATACAGATCTAAAATTCAAAAGCAGCTGCAGAATTTCTTACTTAATATCATTAACCTTGGCTTCATACATACACTCACCCCATTTCAATCTACTTACCCTCCTACCTTCCGTTCATCTTCCTATCATGATACTACCTCTCACATAGATTATATATTTACTTCTACCAACCTATCACATGATCTCACTTCATTCTATATACTAAATGAATCCTGTTACCTTTATTCTACTGATCACTATCCATTACTAACTACACTTTATAAAAAGAACTTT